CCCACAGCCACCCCCACCCAGACCCACAGCCGCCCTCACCCAGACCCACAGCCGCCCTCACCCAGACCCACAGCCGCCCTCACCCAGACCCACAGCCGCCCTCACCCAGACCCACAGCCGCCCTCACCCAGACCCACAGCCGCCCTCACCCAGACCCACAGCCGCCCTCACCCAGACCCACAGCCGCCCTCACCCAGACCCACTGCCTCCTTCACCCAGACCCACTGCCTCCCTGACCCAGACCCACAGCCGCCCTCTCCACAGTCACCCTCACTTCAGCCCCACAGCTGCCTGCTCTCACCTGGAAGGCCCATTGCTCTTCAAGAGCCACCTTGGCCATTTGGAGGCGCCAGACCACAGGCGCGGGGGAGCTGAGCACAAAGATGGGTGTTCTGCCGGGGGGGGCTGGGCCCAGCTCCAGGTTCACCTGGAGGGAGCAGAGGGCCCTGCTTATGGGGCTCCAGGACGTGGGGCTGGGGATGCAGGGAAGGGCAGACACATGTCCTGACCAAGGGGCTGGGACCCCAGGGAATGAGAGGGGCATGAGGGGAGGCTATAGGGTAGTGAGGCAGTGGGGTTGGGGCAGCAGGGTGGGGCACAGTTCTGGGGCTGGCATGGAGGGGTGGGGGCAAGAAGCAGGACTATGCTGGGGGAGGAGGCATGTGGGGTGAGGCCACAGCTAGAATATTGTGTCCAGTTCTGGGCCCCCCACTACAGAAAGGACGTGGACACATTGGAGAGGGTCCAGCGGAGGGCGACCAAGATGATGAGGGGCTGGAGCACATGAGCTATGAGGAGAGGCTGAGGGACTTGGGTTTGTTTAGTCTGCAGAAGAGAAGCAACAGGCTCAAGTTGCAGTGGGGGAGGTTAGGATAAATGGGATATTAGGAAAAACTGTTTCCCTAGGCGGGTGGGGAAGCGCTGGGCTGGGTTCCCTAGGGAGGGGGTGGAATCTCCACCCCTAGAGGTGTTTAAGTCTCGGCTTGACAAAGCCCTGGCTGGGTTGATTGAGTTGGGTTGGTCCTGCCTTGGGCAGGGGGCTGGACTCGATAACTCCTGAGGTCTCTTCCAGCCCTAGGATTCTGATTCTATGCAGGGCAGATGGCAAGGCTGGGGGGCTGGGGGTCACAGAGCAGAGGGGCAAGAGGCCGGGGGCAGCACACAGAAGGACAGAGAGTGAAGGGGTGGATCAGAGGGATGGGGCAGGCTGGGGAGCACACAGTGGAGGGCAAGGAGCAAGGGGTAGGGCAGATGTAAGGGGGCAGGAAGTGAGAGGGTGGAGTTGGGGGTGGGCGCAGGAAGAGGGAACAGCATGTGGGGCAGAGGTGGAGGACACGGGGGGGCAGGGGCAGGGACACCCCCTGCCACCTACCTGGCTGGCCCCCATCCTGCCCGCTGGCCCCCGCAGGAAGATCACAACAGTGGAGGGCAAGGAGCAAGGGGTAGGGCAGATGTAAGGGGGCAGGAAGTGAGAGGGTGGAGTTGGGGGTGGGCGCAGGAAGAGGGAACAGCATGTGGGGCAGAGGTGGAGGACACGGGGGGGCAGGGGCAGGGACACCCCCTGCCACCTACCTGGCTGGCCCCCATCCTGCCCGCTGGCCCCCGCAGGAAGATCACATGCACCTCCCGGCCTGAGGCCGCGTGGCCCTGGCTGGCACAGCCCGTGCCTGCACCGAGGCGGTCCCGGG